CCATAACTACAATTTAACCTGTTACAGTGTGTAGTGTCCTAAGCTTGTACCTAATAATAACTAGATAAATACATTCAATATTATCTTCACAATTTGGAGTCAACAAAAGAAATTAATGTTCTATTAACAATTTCTATTTTTGAGTAGAAGGTTTTTAGTATTTTGTATTTTAAAATTACTTTACTACTACCAAAATATATTGTAAAAATAAATAAATATCTATAAGTTTAGTTATTTAGATTCAAATCGTGCAAACTGCACTATGGATTGAAATTATAAGTATTAATCTGAATGTTGTTGTTATTGTTCATTAACTGTATGGTGTAGTCACCACCCATGGCCACCTTAAGATTTATTTCTGTTGATTTATTCAATTTATTTATTTAATTTATTCTATATATTCTTTAGATTAATACCTACATAACTGTGATAAATAATAGGAGTAGATTAATGAAATTATTAAATGCAAACAAATATGACAGAAACTTTTATTAAAGAAACAAATTACGTAATCTGAATAAATATATAAATAAAATCAACAACTTTTTAACTATATTATAAAATTAATAATCAACACTTGGTAATATTGAAGAGATAGATCTATAGGTTTTAAAATAAATAGAGTTTCATCAATACCACCTATATGGCTATATAAATTCAGAAGTACACATTTTTAATTCTTAAAGATTTTGTTAAGCAATGAATGAAAAAGTGACAAGCAAGATATTGAAAAATATTATAACAATGTTCTCAACTGTTTTTTTTAATACTTTTTATCACCCATTTAATACATTGGTGTTGATGAGTACAACAATAACCATAGTGTCAAAAGAACTAAAAAATTACACTATTTTCAAATAAAATATAAATGACTGACCATAGAAGGGGTAGTGGCTATAGGTGGGGACTCCACCATACAAAAATAATATTATACTTTGGTATAAGTTCTTAGAACTTCTGAAACAAACAATAATTATTAATTAGTATAAGTTATAAGTATTAGCTATAAGTGTGTGACTCTGTATGGTGAAGATTTTCGTAAATTTCAAAACAACACCTGGTTAAATGGAACTGTGATTGACGCACTGCTATTGACTTATGTGAATAATGAAATTGGTTATATTCCTGCGGAAATAAGCAATACAATTTGGTCAAGTACCAAAGTTAAAATAGCCAAATTTGATTTAACTAAATACTGTGTGTTATTTCTACCTATCAATCCTGAAGGTAATAATTGGACTTTATTTATGATGGACTTCATTTTGGGTTGTGTATTTTACTTGGATCCTCTGCGTCCAGAATCAGGTGACTTGTTCTTACCTCGATTAAAAAAAATGATGTTTTCAATGTGTGGTAATGAAAAAGCAAAATATTTGCTGCATAAAATGGTTCTTAAAAATATTGAGTATCCTTTACAGAATGATAGAAACAGTTGTGGAGTGTTTGTGTTGTATTATTGTAGTACATACAATCCAATGTTTACTCAGAGCTTTTCAAAGGAAGTTAATGTGAGTGATTTAAGAAATACATTGCAGCATCGATGTTTAAAGTACTCTGATAATATCAGTGAAAGATGCCTTATGTTTGCACAAAATATAAAAGTAAGTTTTACTTGGATTAAGTGCTTTACATGTGAGCGAAGAGTTCTTAATGTGTGTGTAGGTGGTGTATGCTACAAATTTATGACTAAAGAATTAAAAAATGAAAACTTCACTTGTATCTTATGCAATAAGTATATTAATTAAGTACCTATTTAATAATTACAAACTAATAAAGTACAAAATAAAAACTAATATGAAATAAAGATAAACAAACTAATACAATACCTATTGTAAGTAATGAAAGGTTGGTTATATAAGTTGGGTGTAATTTATAAATTACACGTAGAGTAAAATGGAATCTATTACCTAACATAAAATTGGGTACCTATGTAACTAAATCATATCTTTAAAAGTGGGAATTAACTAGGTAGGTAGTAAAAATGTTTAAATTAAAAAAAAAAAGTTAATTGTTTTAAAATTAACTTAAATTCAGAATGTAACCAGTTAAATTTATTATTTATTAACTATCAACTTTTGACTTAGAACAATCTTGTGTTCACTTAACTTAGGTTATCTTGAGTTAATTATATTCATTAACATGCCCAAAATTGCAAACCTTAGTGTTAACTCCACCATTGACGGTCCTCAGTCCGTATGAAAAAGGAGGAAGGGCGCTTTAAAGACATTTTTCTTTTTTAATTGAAGTATTAAAAATTAATCATGCCTCTCTTGGTTTTAAAGTAATGTATTATTCTTTTAAATGGTTTTTAAATTTTAATATTATTTTCTATATTGGGTTTTTTTTTTATTTTGTAGGATATACCATACTGCCATTGTCCAACTGTGAAGAAGTAGGTAGCCAATTTTAATAGTGCAGATCTTCGAAGACCAGGATGTGTAGATGTGTATTGGAAAATGGCAAAATATACCTAGTTCAGACTTCAGAAATTTAGTTAGACATGACTTATGGAAATTGTATTCATTAATTTTTGGTCATTCAAAGTAGCTTTATGATAAACATTAGTTAAACCCTAATAAATGTATTATCCATCTAATAATTGTATTAAATATAATTAAATAAGATTTTATATTTAACTTATGATTAATACAGCAAATAACTAAATTACTAATTGGTACAATTTGAATATTCCAATTCAAAATTGTTCAAAGAACTTTGTATTTACATTTTTCTAAAACAAATAATAATTTGATAATAATAATAATAATAATAATGACAAAGTTTAACACTTAAACCATAATAAGGATCAGTGGTGTTCCACAGATTCTGAATTTTTTTTAAACTGTATTCATTACTTTTATAATTTTTAATGACAAATATGTATGTAAACTATTTTGTGCTATTTATGCATTGTTTAATATATTATAAAATGTAAAAACCTATATAAATACTGTTTTATTTTACGGCTGTGTTACGCAAAAATTTTATAAAATATTAAGTGTTCAGACATTCAAAAAGGTTATGAATATATTATACATAAAATGTTATATACATTATTATTTATATTATTGGTACTAGAATATTATTACTTTTTTGAGATGTTGATCAAGGTTAGTGTAAAAATATAAATTACACTTAAGTAAACGGGGGCTGTGAAGAAAATTAACCGATAGTGTTAAACAGTTCATTAGTACATAATATAGTCAGAGTTGTCTATCATAAAGTACTATTAATTTTATGTGTATATTAAATATGCATTTATTATATTGGTATGATTGGTAGTAATTTGTTTTGAATTTAGCAATATAACTTCAGTAATATTTATACGAGATAAATATTTCAATTTTAATGACATTGAACATAAACAATAACGTAATATAATGATTTATTTCCATATTTAATTATTCAAATAATGAATCGTTATATGTAAGATTGTTTATTTAAGTTCAATAAGTTGACATGTATGGCGTAGAGTCTAGGAGAATAATAATGAATAATAAATTAACAATCTTATATAATGTTTACTGCTTACCATAGACCTATTAAGAGACCTTCTTAATAGGTCTATGCTGCTTACCTGAAACTACCAAAACACATAAATAATACATATGTATATAGTTTAATATGTTATTACTTTTTGTCTTACCAGTTACCATGTTAAATCAATTTTAATTGATTTTTATGTTAAATAATGTATTTATTATTATTTTACAACACTGTTTTTCTATAATTTCTAGTATTTCTGATTATAGCTGTATATTAGTATTTATGTACCTACTTAATACTTAATACTTAATAGTATAATCAAATAGGAATTAAATTAGTTTTTTTCTAATATACTTTCTTAAATAGGTAATTTAATATACTTATACAAATTAAATACTATTTTTAAATAGTATCCTTTTGTGTATTTAGAATATTTTAACCACAGTTTTATTGATATTTACCAGTTCAGAACTATTAGATTTTAATTCCAGATAATTAGGTGAATTTTGTATAAGAGGCAAGGCCATAATTTCATCAACACTATCATCGAGACTAGTAGGGCTCTGGACTAGTAGAGGAGTAGCTCCTTCCTTTAAAATTGTCTACAAGAAGAAATATCTTTATTTATTACATGATTTTTCTTAATCATTGTCATAAGTACTTACTCTAGAACTAGAACTACTGTTTTGTAAGTTACTTATAACATGAGTTTTTAAATCTGCTTGGGGAAAATGGGATTCACATACTCTATCACCAATAAATACATTTTTATTTGTTTTTGATGACCAACTTTCAATGCGCTTTTTAGTGACACGAAATGTAGGTACATTCAAAGTAGAACAATTGCAAAATGAACATCGTTTTGGCATTGTTACAACTTATAAGATCTTAGATCACTAGTTAAACTAGTTAAAAAAATAATTATGAAGGTCGTGTAGGTCGTGTATTGCAGACTGCACTACTGCAGTGGTCTAAGGCCGTGGGCGTAGATATCAACTACCAAGTTTCACAAATAGAGCGCGCCACATGACGGGGTCCTGGACACTAAAGGCACATTATAAGTTCACTACATAGTTACTATCTGGCGACTATATCACAGACTATATGAAAATATATTTTCATTTAGTCTGTGACTATATAGTCTAAGGCCGTGCTGTCTGGTAATTTCACTTGATAATGACAAGACGGCTATCTGGTATCAAGTATCTAGTAAACTCATAGATAATACAGTATACATAGAGTATACTTGACAGTAATTAATTACTTATTACTTGTCTTAAAAGTTATTAGTTTAATGAAAGGTAAAAAAACAGGTACTCATCTGAGGTTTTTCTTGATATATAAAATAAAAAATAGGTTTCTATCTTTTAATAAATAATATTATTCATGATGTTCATATTTTATTATACCTAAGTCATTGGTGGAAATTTAAAATTTTATTTTTACAATTCTAATTAACTAACAATAATTGCACATTATTTAAGGTAATATTAAGTATCTTAACATTCTAAATCATGAGCAAAATCACCATACCTTGGATTCCTATAACATTCACAGTAACACCTATGATAGGTGGTTTCATTGGAGGTATTTTTGTTCGCAAAAACATCAAAGGATGGTACGAGGTAATCATAAATTACATTTTTAATACTTTAATTAATACAGAAGATTAAGTATAATATATATTTATATATATGTATCTGTTTTAGACATTGAATCGACCATCCTGGAGACCTCCAAATTATATGTTTGGTCCAGTTTGGACTACTTTGTATTTAGGAATGGGATATGCCTCATACATGGTATACCGTAGTGGGGGTGGATTTTTCGGTAAGATTATGCCTATTGTCTAATGATAATATAAAAGCTTAAATTGTGTCATTGACAATTTTTAAATTAAAGGTGCAGCAAAAATTCCTTTGGCATTGTACGCATCACAATTGGTTTTGAATTGGGCATGGTCACCTTTGTTCTTTGAGTTTCATCAGTTAAAATGGGTATACTAATTAAATATAATTGCTGACTGTTGTATAATTTTAAGCTACTCTAACAAATTATTGTTTTTTTTTTTTTTCCAGAGTTTAGTTGAAATTTGTGTATTGTGGACAAACGTAGCTGGCTGCATTGTAACATTTCATCAAATAAACAAAGTGGCTAGTTATTTAATGATTCCGTACTTAGGTTGGTTGTCGTTAGCAACAGCATTGACGTATAACATATATAAAAATAACCCCGAAATATCAGACAAAGTTAATGGTGAATAATTGTATTTGTATTACAATGAGTTTGTATAATCATATTTTTATTATTAAAATTAAAATTTTCATCATAATATGGTAAATGGTTCTATAAATATATTATGTTAAAATATGTTATTTATTTTTATATTGTAATATAATTATTAAAAAGTCACTGTGCGTTCTATACCAAAACTACCTATGTGAATAAAAATAGTTGTGTTTGGGTTAGTATTAGAGGTAATTGAGAGCTGAATATCTGTTAACAAAGTTGAAGAGAACATTTTCAAGATAATGTGATTGATAATATAATTATACGTAAATTATATTTATGACAGCAGAAACAGCGAGCAGTGAGTTGTCTTTGGAGTCTCTAGTTGAAGTATTAGTGCGTATGACGATCTGGGATAATTTTTAATTTCGCGTTTTACACTTTTACTTTATACTTATATCTATTTATTTTTTTATTTATTTTAAAGCAACAAAGTTAATAAAATATAACAATTTAACTTACAGTATATATAAAAGCTAATTACCCTTTTCTTTAAGCAAGCTTGTGGTGAGAGGGGTGGATCTCCCTAATGACTAGGTAAATCGTATCTCTTGCCATAAAAAAATCAGTATTGTCCGCATAAGATATAATTTTACCTGCTAGGTCTAGCTTAAATAAATCATTAATATAAATAGAAAGTAAAGGCCCGAGTATAGTATCTTGAGGTACTCCGTATAGTAAATTTGATATCACTAATCGAATCATTAATGCTAACAACTTGAGTTCGCTCTGATGAATAAAATGTAAACTTCAGCATCATCATCAACCTCAAAAACAACAAGCACTTGTAAAGATTTTCAAACTGAAGTGTAAAAATTTAATGTTACAATAAACAAAATAAAAGAAGTAAAAACTATTATACCAACAATAAAGAAAAAATAATAGACTATAAAAAACAACAAATAGCTGATAGGTAGGTTAGGTTAGGGGGTATTAAGGAGGCTGGAGAGTGATTAATTTTCGGTCGAAAACTAAGCACACGACTTCAATCACTACGCCCAATATAACGTTCTGATATTAATTTTGAAAGCTGATTTGAATTCGTCACTAAATTACTTATGCTTTGACTATTTCAATTTTCTGAATCTTTTTTTTTTTCATTTAAAAATTTTCTAACAAAAAGAGTAAAAATAGATCATATTCATAATTAAAATTTAAATACATTGATATAGAATATGAAAAATGTACGGAAGTCAAAGCATAGTAAATTTAGAGGAGAATTCAAAACTGCTTTCAAAATTTAAATCGGAACATCCTACTGAGCGTAATGAGTGAATGTTTCTAATTTTATATTAAGTAATAAATGGTGACATGTGCATGTGCGTAGGTATAATGACAGAAGTATATGATGCCCCTATAAAACGTGATCAGTACTACGAATTACGCACACTAATGTTCATTTACTTTCAACACATTTACAAGACCCATATGAACTAAAATATAAAGTGCCTAGTTTTTACTCTTTAGAATGGATTACCCTCCAGTCCCCTTAAATTTGAATTCAATGATATAATATCATTGTATAAAAAAAACGATTCTGAGCGGAGACGGTTTGTCAGTCTGGATACTTTATATTGTTATTATTTATTATAGCCTGTAAGTTGAATTAATATTGAAATATATTTTTAGATTCTGAGCGGAGCGATGAATGTATTGGTTTTACAATGATGTATGTTTTTATAATTTTTTTTTTTTATATATTTTTTTTTTTTTTTGTGTCTGTCATCACGTTTTAGGACAGTAAAAGTGCTTGAATTTTCTTCAACAGTAGCTTTTCTGATAGGAAAGTGAATCTAGTTGGTACTTTGGGGGGGTCAAAAGTATAAATTTCCCAGTAGTTTTCACAAGCGCCGGGAAAAACAACATAAAAATTAAGGAAAAACGGGAATTTTTACGCAAAATTGGTTTTCCAAAAAATCGATTTTGGTTATTGGTGTAACTCTAAAACAAATGAACGTATATACATGAAATTTCCACTGGTTGCTTATATTTGCATTTTCTATACACGATAACATTTTCAAAATATTTTGATTTATTTTGAACGGTTTAGGGACATTTTCATATTTTTTAGTTTTTTTTCTAAAAATATCAATAAAATTTTATTTGTTGGTTGCGAAAGCTTGAAAATTTAATACAAGGCTCCTAATATATTGTTTCAAAGGCAGATGAAAAATATTAAAAATCCTTAGTCACAATTTTTTTTTATAAGCATTTAAAGTTCAAAAATTGACAAAATATGGAAAAATCACGAAAATTAGCAAATTATTTTGAGTTAAGAATTCGTAAAAATTTTTATTTTTAAATCTAAGATTTGAAAATGAAACACAAGATTCCTTATAAGATTATCTACCTTTATCAATAAAAAAATCTCTACCGGACAGTCAAATTAAATTTTTATGAGCGTTTGAAATTCAAATTTTTACAACATTGGATTTTCACTCGATTACTCATGTAGCGATTTCCTTATTTTGTTGCAATTCAAAAACGAACAACTGTAGATACATGAAAATTTCACTGAATGTTTAAATTAGCATTTTCTATAAACCATACAATTTTGAAAATATTTTGACTCTTTTTGAGCTGTTTATGGACATTTACAGCTTTCAATTTTTTTTAGTTTTTTTTTCTATAAATATCAATAAAGTTTTATCTGTTGGGCCAAAAAGTGTAAAAATTTAATACAAGGCTCCTGATATATTGTTACAATAGCAGTTGGAAAATATTAAAAATACATCTGCACAGTTTTTTTTTATAAGCATTTAAAGATCAAATTTTGACAAAATTTATCAAAATCTCGAAAATTATCAATCATTGTAATTAATAAATTATAAAATGTTCAGTTTTTATAGCTAAGGATTACAAATTCAACACAAAGGTTCTCATAAATAGTTCATAATATAACCAAAAAATCTAAAAAATATATGAACACACTTATTTTTTACAGACATTTTAAATTCAAATTTGGACGAAATTACATATTAAAAAACCTAGAATAACTATTTTAGTTATTTTGTTGTGATTGAATAATATTATTCGTGGGTACTTGAAACTTCTAAAGTGTACTATTATATATCTATGATAGTATCACGGTTTTTGTTGATGTATAACGCGTTATAAGTATCTAATGGATATTGTGATATGATTAATTTGGAATTTATTATAGGTACCTATTATAGGTCAATTTTTTGTTTAATACCATAGATATGTATATAATATGTCTTATACACAGGGGCGTCATTTAGGGGGGGGCAGGGTGTGCAACGGCACCACTAACTTAAAAAATGTTACTGACTGGCCCGCCATTAATACTTCAATGCGCCGTTAAAATTAACTTATACATCATGTTTTCATAATTTTCATTTTAATATAAATAAAATAATATTTTAAGTTTTTGTTTATTTTTGGTTTATCAGTTAATATTTTTTCAAGTATTATTAGTACTATTTATTATTTTAGAATATAACTCAAGTTCATTGTTTAAAAAATATTTAATTAGTATACAATTTGGTTAATTCTAAATAATATGCTTTGCTTGTTAGTTATAAATTATAATTATTTTCAGGTTTGTTTTGCAACTGGATGAGAGATTTTCCCAACAAGCTACAGATTTTTTTAAGTTATTTGAAGTTTTTGACAGTTCTAACAATAATTTTTTCAATCCTAATAGTCCATATATATCATCATTTATAAATCATTATAGTTATTTTCAATTTAACAAAATTAAAATTGATTCAGAATTTCCTTCCGCTAAAACGTTATTAACTAATAAAAACAATATAGATTTAGATACTATAACATTATGTCTTAAAGATTATCCCGAAGCATTTAGCGAAACTTTAAAAATTATTTCTATAATAAAAACACTACCAATATCCGCTGCTTCAAATGAAAGATTTTTTTCATCTCTCAAAAGAGTAAAAACATATTTACGAACCACCATGGGCGACAATAGATTAAAAATGATCTTATGGTTATTGCAGTTGAGAAGGAAGAAGCAAGTAATATTGATCTGCAAGAGGCTGTAAATGCTTTTGCACACATTAAAACCCGCAGATATCCGCTAATTTAAATTTAAAAATAATTTATATTTTTATATTTTGTATTAATGATTTTTAATTTTGGAAATTAAGTGTATTTCATAATACCTTATTTGACTTTTTTTCAAATAATAGTGAAATGGCTTTAGCTGCTTGCTTTTATTGTTTATAAGCTTTTAATTCTTTAAATTGCTAGCTAGGTATTTAAAATTTGCATTAGTCGTTATAAGTAATTTCAATTAGGGAAGAAAAAAATATTTACATAGGTTTGCATGGGTTACCTATATGTATGTATATACATTTTTTTTTTAATGGCCTGGTGAAATGTCAAAATTGGCCTGCCTAAAAGTTCGCACACCCGGAAAAAAAACTGAAATGACGCCCCTGCTTATACATAGACTGACATACCGTCACCGCTCAGAATCGTTTTTCTTATACAATGATATTTTATCATTGAATTCAAATTTAATACCATCCATTATACAGTGACCCACTTGTAACCTACTGTACAGCAGAGCGACACCCACTTGCCCACCCGATTCACTACTCGGTCCGGATCCCGCTCAAAACAGGAAAATACTTAATTTTTTAAAATCGATTAATTTAATAGGACAAATATAATGCAAATGTAAATATAAATATAAGCATGTAACAAAAGTAGCACAAAAAAAAAACTGTAACTAATGGCCTATGATGCCGGGTTGTTAAATAAAAAATAGATGAATAAAAAAAAAAAAATTTAATACCATCTATTATACAGTGACCCACTTGTAACCTACTGTACAGCAGAGCGACACCCACTTGCCCACCTTTTTTATTCGTTTCTATGGTGATAAAAAAAGCGTCAGAAATTAAAATTCCATTTTTTGAGGTTTTTTGTAATTTGTCAATGGTTTTTCCCGTAGCATTAAATAATTATTGAGAAAATCAAAAAACGA